TTTTTGAGTCTCGACATGATGCTTAAAGGAAAGCTCACTGGAGAATTTTGAATTTCAGACTTTTGGATTTGGGATGCTCAACAGGTAAGTATAATATAAAATATAAATATTATATAAAGTATTATATAAATATTATAAAAAATATTACAAAATCTAAAAAATCCAAAATCCAAAACACTTCTGGCCCAAGCATTTCAGATAAGGGATATTCAACCTGTATTAAAAAGTCCTTTGTGTGAGGAATGGGGAATTGTAAGTCAAGCAATTTGTAAAATATATTAATCACCACAATCCAAGATTAGACATAAACATAATGACAGCACTTGAAGTCTTTATTTTAGATTTGTTTTTACAAAATGAAAGATTATTCCAGTAATTCTTTAGGACAATGACTTTATGGCATAAAATGTACTAATAATGACATGCTCTCAATCAGACTCACTCAGTAATTTAGAGGGTGTTTCACTTATGGCATTTTAAAAGAGGGGTCAGAGGGTAATGTATTTTTACAGCATTTAGAAACAAAACTTATAGAGTTTTTCTAGCATGATTAAATCCAATTTTTAAATAGAATATTAAAGTAAACTAAATCTACTAAGGAACTACAGCCTCACCCTTGAGAGCTTATCCTAGATATGAGAAAGTCCTGAATCCACTGGGCTAAAAAGAAGACAAATTATTTCTTATTTCAGTTATTATGGCACTAAAAACCAATCTGCCCACATGCTGTGTACTAATATTCTTAGGGGACCAAATAATTAATTTTGGTGTCAGAGGCAACAGAACAGAGCACAGTAACTTAGAACAAAAATACTGTGCATTTTTGGCTTGTATGAATATTGAGAAAGCTTTCTCATATGCATTATAATGAAGGAAGCAGGCTGATGCGGCAACTGAGGTTCAGAAAAGCTTAGTGTATTATTCAAATTCATTGAGCTAAGTGATAAACCTCAATTTCTTCTACATCTAGCCCAACGTGGTTCCTATATACCAAAATGCCTCTAGGGCAGTGTTTCTCAACCTTTAATGTCCTTAAACATCATTTGGAGTGCTGAGTAAAAGCATAGATTTTGAGATCCCTCCCCCTGAGGTTCTGATTCAGTCAGTCTGGAATGGGGCCAAGGAATCTGCACTGTAAAAAGCACTCCAGGAAATTCTGTTGGACTGTCTGTAGACCATATTTTGGAAATAGTACTCCAAGCAATATATTATTATGTATGGTAGCTATTCCAGGGTTGAAAAATGGCACGAGGAGAACTGACTAATTTCAAAAGACTGACTCTTGCTGCTTAAGGCTAGTTAAGAGAGCAGGATTCATAAATGACACGGACACATGAGTAATATAAAAGGTATGTGTGGTAGTGCATGCTGGTATTTGGTGTGAAATATTTGAGAATGGAAACCAAATACCATACCCTGTGGAACCCAAAGTGGACTCTCTGCAAGCTGACTTGAAGCACATAATCTTGATCAGCATGCAATTTTATCCATTTGTTGTCATCTCGTTTGTCTGCAGTCAGAGTTGAGACAGAGAGTTCATTATGTCCTTCAACTAAGTCATCCCATGAGCCTTTAACACTTATGCCAACATTTATCACTGGCAAGTGAGATAAGAAATTCCAAGCCTAGATAAAAAAAAGAAAGGAAAAATAACAAAGGAAGAGTTAATTTGACATGCAGTGATCAACTAAGTAACTGTGTGCTTTCAGAAAAATGAGCCTTTTAATTTTGAGATTAATTCTGAATTCATTGCAGTTGTACAAAATAATACAGAGAGATCCTGGGCACCATCTACACAGTTTTCCCCAATGTTAGCATTTTT